ACACGAGGCATACGTGTGGAATGACGCCTGCAGTGTGCTCAGCTCATTAGCTGCTGCACATGATGTTTGACTGCTCTTTGAACACACGGCTGTGTCGCAGTCTGGACTGCCGTTGACATATTGGTGACATCAAAGAGAATATTGGAGGGGCTGAGCAGTACGCCACATCACACCGAGGTGACGAAGCTGCACACCCCACTGCCATCAAAGCGTTTTTGTGTGTATGAAAGGAAGAGCTGTGAGCAGAGGAGAAAAGAGGATTTGTGGCATTATGCATATGCTAATTAGATGTCGCTTTGTGTCAAAACTTTTTGCGCTGCATACCTAAATGAGAATTGTGAGAAACACTCTGTGCCCCACTGAGTTCGAGAAAACCTGAGACTTTGAGGTCTCAATTTGGGTTTTTCCATCGAGAGCTAACCAGAGCTGGTGCTGGGTTCAGTTCTACTGGTCCTATAATGGAACCTGAGTGGTTTTCTACACCTGAGACCCAACTTTGCCATATCAATGTGTGACTATAATATCGGTTGACCCACTTGAACTCCATGTGAGGGGAAATCATTCTGTGAAATTAGCAAAATTTGTGTGAAATCATCCAAATTTTTGATCTTGCACATGTAATATGACTGAAGAAAGCTGAAAATGTTGAAATGTGTTTGCCGTTATTGCATCCTGTGTGTTGGGTTTCACCGAGGGTGGCGGAGACTTTCGCCTGTCACTGTTGTTTGTTGCTCCCCACATGTCCAATGTGTCTCAATTGGAATAATTCTGCAAAGAGTGGACTACAATTAAAAAGTTTGGAGTCACAAAATGGGGCAAACTATTTTATTTGCCATAAAAAGACCAATACATGAGCTACACTTGTTTAGGGCTAACAACAGGTTAGCTAAGTAAAGACAGGCATAATGTTTTGACATAATTTCATGCGAAACATGCTAGTCTTTAGGAAACCACCTTTTTCTGCTGACAATACTTCAATCTAGTGCAGTTTGCTGAAGTGCTAGTCTAATGTTAGCATGAATACTCTGTTGTGATATGGCTTGTTATTAGTTAAGCTTCTAGCATTATTCAGTCCGGCATTAGTTGATGACGTGTGGAGAAATTCACTGAAAAAGTTGTGCTCTAACTTCATTAACCTTTTTGAAGGTCATAGAATTCGATTACTTGTGTTTCAGCTGCTCTCCATCAAGATTACAAACTTGTTTCTTACAAGTCAGAGGAAGAAAAAACAAACAAATAATAAAAAAAACAACAACTGTGTGGAAAATGAGAAACAGGTTTGATTCTTGTCTACGTTTGAGCCGCAAAGAGAGCAGAGGGAAAATAAGCACCACACAGTGTGTGACCTCAGCCAATAAAAATTCATTTTGTAAGCCTAATGGTCCCCTGCGACTCCCCCATTGCAGGAGTTTGTGATCTCTTTTGCTGAGCAGCGGCGCCCTTATTCCCCATGCTGTCTGTTTACCTGAACCTAGTGGGGGAGAAAAACTGAATCCAGCAGCAGGAGGGAGTCTAAGCTCTGAGCGATGGCTGCACCCTTGAACTCCTTCTCTGACTCACCGTTTCGCTCAGACAAAAAGGCAATTATCGCACATTGGCTCTCTGCCTCGTCTGCGGATCCCCAGCAAATGTGAAAGAGGAAAAAGTTTTGGGGGAAAATGTCTTTTTAAAAAAAAAGAAAAGAAAAGCATTTCTGCGTTGCCACGGACACAAGTGCGCATCTTCACCAATAACTCGCAACACTGTGGGAGCAAAATACCAAAAGCAAAAAGCCTGGTGTGTAGGTGTGCGCGTGGGTGGAACATTGTTATGCACCCGGTGTGTGTGTGTGTGTGTGTGTGTGACAGAGTTTCTCACCAATTAACAAGCTACTGCTGAACTCCTGTGCTCAGGTTTGTGAACAGTTGTGCAAAAAAATTGCACCGATGATAGATTTAACACCGCTCATAGCTAAGAAATAATCCTAGAAAAATAAATAAATAAATAAAAAATGTACAGCGTGACCCTCATCGTCTTGTTCTGCTGCCTGAATGACAATGGAGACCCTGAGCTTTCAGTGCAATGAGACAGAAAATGAACAGAGCTCGCCCAGAAAACGTTTTAATGACTCCTAATTATCTTTGACATGGTGCCAAGTGATACGGTAGTCATGCAGGACAGACTAATCCTTTTAACTACTTTAACTACATATTATCAAGACATGTCTATTGAAAAATGCATTGTAAGGATAATTTGAAATCTGCTGCAGGTGCAAAGTGCCTAAAGCGGGACGTTAACACCCCCATGTGCTCCGTTTCTTTGCTCTTATGCAAAAGAAATGACTTTTGTTCGACATAGAAAAGTTTGAACATCCAAGGGAACGGCATTTAGTTATCTCTTACAACAGTTCACTTTTTATTATAAATGTTTCAGCTCAAACACCTTTTAATACCAAGCACAGATAACATGAGTAGATGCAAAAAGCAGTTTTTAAATGAGGCGATGCTATCCGACCCGAACTGCCAGTGAAAAATGAACTGTCTCCATATTTGATACGATTGTAAATCATCTGTTTAGTCACCTTTTCTTGTTCAAAACACACCAAGAATATCCAATATACTAAAACTAATTTAGCCAATAACCAATACTGGTATTTTTTCCCCTACATCTACTTACTGAAACTATATGACTGTCTCTACTTTGTCATTTTAGCCAAATGCAAAATGCTAAGAAGGCTGAAAATGATGCCACACGATCAACTTTCATTATGTTTAATGTCAAATTTATTCATGACCTCTGCTCTCTAAAACAGTGCAAATTTGTAAATCTTCACAAAACTAAACTCAACCTGTTAACAAGCGACAAGTGAAAAGCACATCAGTCATACATTAATACTCAACAGTTTATGACGTTGTGCTGTGCAGCAGGCACCATTATCACTGGTTTGTCAGAAAAACACCTTTTATATCAGTGAATTATTCTGACGGAATGGCCGATACCAATACAATGCCAATAATATTGCGTATCCCTACTGGCCAGTTCAACAAAATGTTTCCAAAGCTGCTATGAACGCTCATTTTTATACCCACAAGTTTAAATGTAAGCACCGTACTGATACAGAAAATGGCCAACTTCTTTTCTCTCCACAGAAACCACTTCCACACGGAAGAGTGTGGAAGTTGATCTATTCACTGATCAGAAAACGGTCTGGTCCTTCTGAAAACTGCACCGATCTCCTCAACAGCTGATTCCTTGGAGCAGCTGAAATTAAAAGAGCATCAGTGAGTAGCCAGCATTCAGGAATACAACCCTGAGACTAAAGAGGATGGGTGGCCTTTTGACAGAGGGCTTCTCCTAGGAGAGGACTTTATTACTTTTCAAGGCCTCATCAGTGCTTCTCTCATTAACGGCTTACATGACCCTCCATGTAAAGCACCATACATTACACAACCACCGAGTGTGACCTGCAAAGCCAGCATTAAATTACACAGGCGTAGGAAGGCAGGTCATTACGCTGCGTGGCAGATAATTTTCTGTTCAATTCTGCCAGCCTTGTTTTTACTCCCTCCTCTCATTCCATGCACAATAACCCCTCTCTCTGATGAAGGGCTTATGGCAGCAGAGATACCACGCATGGACTATTACTGAATATTTCATAGCGATACTGCATTAAATTTTTAATTAGATTTTAAACAGCCTGATACGAAAGGATTGTTCTGAGCCACTTCTGGAGATTCTAATGTGATCGGCGATGTGAATTTAGCCGAGCTATTTCTGTTCAAATATGTTCGTGGAGAGCCTCGCGGTGTTTGCTCATGACACAGATTTGTGTTTACACAGCTCCGGGGCCGTTTTCTGATCGCAAAGATGTGCCGGGTTTTCTTCAGAGTGTTCGTTCGTTACGCGGAACCAATAACCAAACTGCTTTTTTCTAATAATAATTAATTCCTGTTTTATTTTAGAGAACTGAGTCAACATAAAGAAGTCTTTTGTTAAACCCCAAGCATGATAAATGTTTAGTTTATTAAATTCTACCAGAATAATTTGAATTTAGCTTCCTGTGATAATGTCTCATAAACTGATTAAACTTTCTTAGGATGTCTTTCTTATGATAATAATCCTTGATGTCTTCCAAACTTTGCATTACAAGCACAAATTGTGTTTTATAGGGACTTTGTGTGATAGACACACGAAGTGCTGCGTATACTTGTGAAGTGGAAGGAAAATGATGCATAGTTTAAAATGTTTACGCAGAAAAGTCTGAAAAATGCGACCTCCATGTTTATATATCTCCCAGGATTCGACATTTTATGGAACGAACCTTCACCGCAATTACAGCTGCGAGGTTTTTGGAGTCTGTCAGATTAAATTTCACACTGGTGGAGTCTGCAAATTAGATGAGTTCCAAAGTTGCACTTGGTTTTACTCTATATAGGGGTCTCAATAATATCCACCCCACACTTTTTTTTGCATTTTTAAATGCACAGCTTCCTCACACATTACAGTTATGAAAGCCATGGTGATCTATCATATAAAATCCTAATTAAATAAACTGAACTTGAAAGTTCTACTGCTTAAAGCAGCAGAATTATCCGCTGCCTGGAAATAAGGTCTCTATACAGACACCTTATTTCAATTCATTTTTTAGAAGCAGTTTTGTAGCATTAAGTTGCCTTGAAACAAGTTTCAACATTTAAAAATCCCATTTTCGTTTTTTATGGACTACTTTAATTACCTTCTGAGCCGTCTGTCCTTTCAAGGAACGATGACCAGGGACCACATTTATCATCCACAGACAAGTACTAAATCTACCATCTCTTGATAAATGCAACTCATCAGTGGTATTAGTCTTAACTGACTGTTTTGCTGGTTCATTCAGAAGGCATGCTGTACAATCTGACCCTCAAATGCCCATTTTTAACACAGTAAACCAACCAAACAGGAAGATGCTTCATATGCCCCTTAAATGGACATTTTAACCCAATAAATCAAATGCATATTTGTCTCTGAGCAGCACTGAGTGAGTAGTGATCAGGATGAATATTTAGAAATCTAGGTAGTGAATGCGCGCGCGTGCACACACACACACACGCACACACACACAAAGTTCAAACATGAACCAGAAAAGTCACATTTTATGCTGAAATTTTATGAAAACTGCTTGTTGATATAAGAGATAAGATGAGCAAGTGAGAATAATAACATTCCTAAAACTTTTTGATGATCTGGTTTACATAGTAAATGATGCCTTTAGCTTAAGTTACACACAACATCCTCTGCAGCAGGCTTAAACACAAGGCTCATGACTTAAATGGTCTTTGAAAGGTTAGAATAACGCTCACACAAATAGAAGTGATTTCAAAAGAAACGCTGGCCGGAAATCCTGAAAACTGTTTTGTTCCTCGGAGCAGCAATCTAAATCCCAAAGACAATGGAAATGTGTAGGAGACGTACTGTAAGCCCTTCTGCTGTAGGCTTTAATGCTGACATCTATAGAAGCTCAAATACCTTTAGCAACAATCCAGCTGAAGACATTTATTTGATGTTCTGGGTACAGCTTATGGGAGTTATGTGAAAACACTGTACATAGAACAATCTAATTAGCAAACCTATACAGATCTACATTAATGGATGAATTAAATTGCGCAGTGATAGTACTGTTTTTGATGCAATCTGGCATTACTCTGGCTGGACACTCTTAGCAGAACGGGTAGAAAACATTGAAACCGGTTGGTTTCCTTTAGGGCTGAGTTTGGGGTCATAAACAGGTTATTTATGAAACACAATGTCAGCCTGTAGGAACCATCAAGCCTCCAATGAACCAAAAACTGTTGAAACATCAGAGGTTTGAGTCAGGATGAGGCTTTTACACCACGAAGAACATCATGAAGTTTAAGAATTTAACTTCTTAACTAATGAAACTGCTGGATGATCCAAAATAGAAACATCATACTATTAAAGACGTACGATGTTGGGATTGCCCCAACTGTTTAGACCATTTGTAAACGGTGCTTTATGGAAACCTACCATTTGTTAAGTATCCTCCAAGAAATACGCCAAATTCTTGTTGGACACAAAAACCCTGCAAGTTATTTTGTTTGGGAAATTATTCATATTTGTGCAGCACATGGGAAAACTTTTGTGTGCTTCTTTGTAATGTACAATTCTAGCAACAGACATTCTTATAGAGCAGAGCTATTTTTTTTGTTTTGCGCTTCAGCGTTTTTGCTAACTATGAAAACACCTAGCGCACTTAGCTTGCCCTGAATTAATTTTTCTAGATAAATTTTGCAGTTCTAATTTTGTTGGCTGTTGAGCCAAAGCCATACAGGTATTTGTGTAATGACAAAATTGACCCTATTGAGAACGATGTATTATGTTGCAACATGGCATGTAGCAACATGGTCTGCTAAAACCCATGTTAGTATAGCACTTTAGCATTAGCATTTGTAATTAGTGCTTTAGGGTTAGGGCAACAAACTTTTTAGTTAGCACTGGTACTTATCAACTAAATACATTTTTGTCATCTAGAGGTGCTTTAGGGCGACGGTTTGCAGCTGTGATGCTGCTCTCAGACTAAGACTGGATATAAGCAGGTTTTCCACATTTCTCATGACTCAGATTAACAGCAGAGACAGAAAAAGTCTTACTTCCTCACTTCACCAAAGGCTCCAATAGCCTCGACTGCTGGAAATCAGAAGAATTTCAAAGAGCAGCTGTAGTATATCGAAGGAATAGTAAAAAAGGAGATTTAAGCTGACCCTGTCATTAGACTGACTGGGCTTTTATTCCGCTGCTCACTCCCACCTGCTGCTTGTAATGCTGCCACCCACACACACCTTCAAGAATTCAGTCGCTCTGATCTCTCTAATCTCTTGATGAAGCGCATCACTCTTCCTCCTGCTGGGTTTATATCAAAGCTAAACATCTGACTCTCCTAATTAATATAGAGGAGACGGTCTGTATGACGTCTCTCTGAAGAAGGCAGGACACCGCTGGTTGAATCTGCTCTGCTGATTATGGATGAGCGCCAAAACTCGCCTCTGTTTCCACATTGTTTGGTTCGACAAACTGTTGCTAAGCCACACACTTGCTTTACGCCGTATCCAGAGTGGTTTGATTGAGAGTTGTGAGTGAAGGTGAAATCCTCTTACATGCTCGAGTCCACTCCTATGTGGAAACTTTATGTGTCTAAGACGCCAAGCTTTCTTTACTCTGTCTAGCCTTGAGCATTACAATAAGCCATCCATTCAGTGGCATTGAAAACTGGCCTAAAAGCAAGAGATTGGATAAACACTCCAGCTAGTTGTAATGTGAATGTTTCAGCTGAAAACAGCTGTGTTTTTGATCATTCTCAGATTTACTGTCTATAAATTATTCACACGCCTTTGCAACAATCAGTCAGACTAAAAGGAGTTTGATGTGATAGGTCAACACAAACCAGGCTGTAGTCATAAAATGGAAGGGAAATGATGCATGGTAAAATCCAATGCAACCAACTGTATTCAGAAGTCTCTAATCAGTAAACAGGGTCTAAATTATGTCATTTATTTTCAGTTTTATCCATCATCTTGTCAAATTTTTAAAAAGTTTGCTTAATTAAGGAAATGTTCAAACAGGGACCAGTTCCAGGCTGGAAAAGGCGATGTCTTAACAGTCAGGTCGTAGTTTTATACCTCAAAATGACGTCAAATGAGATTCCAGTCATCAATACGCAACATGTAATCTGTACCATGACATGATTGGTCAGTGTTTTAAATTTATATTTCATTGACATTTCATTATGAATTTTAATTGTCTGGACAGTGGAAGGAAATTACCTGAAACTTACTGCTGGAGTTCTAATAATGTGATTTGTGTTAAAACCTATTCATGGGTTAGAATGGTCCAGTCAAAGTCCAGACGTAGATCTAACTGAAAATCTGGGACAAGATTTGAAAATGTTTGGCCATTGGTGTTTTCCATCCAATCTAAGATGGAAGGAAAGAGTGAAACCCCGTGTGAGTTATACAAGTATTGACTCAGGAAGGTTGACACTGTTTGTTTGGTCATAAATTCTGAAAGCCAGAAATGGGTTTGATTCTTGGCTGGGCCCCAAATGCAGGGAGTTTGTATGTTGTTCCCTTGAATGGCCGGGTTCTCTTCAGGTACTCTAGTTTCCTCTGACAGAACAACAGCCATGCTAGATTATCCGAACGGTCTACATCAGTTATGTACTTCTTGCCCATTAACCATCAGAAACCAGGACTAGATCTGATCCTGTCCTTGCAAGGATGTAAGAGATAAATTTTTACTTCGAGTTCAATTGCACACTTTTGTGATAGTCTAAGAGACAATCCAAATAAAGTACATTAATGTTTGGGCTGTCCAAATTTGAAAAGACTCAAGGAGTGTGCATATTTTTTATAGTACTAAGGTTTAACACTAACCGATACATATACAGCCAAAACAGTATGCATTAAAGTTCAATTGCATTTTTTTTTGACGGTGACTTCTGCCTGTCAGATTTGCTCCCTTCAAGGTGAGGAGAAATCTCCTCCTCACGTAGTTTATCCTCTAGAGACTTGGCTGCTTTTCCCCCTGAGCTCTGTTCTTCCTGGCAGCTGGGGCTCCACAGTCCCGTTTGTCATTTCCACTTCAGTTTCTACTGCCTCCACGACGGGGGCTCCCACTGCACTGCGCATTTTCAAGTGTCCCTTGAAAGACAAGACAAACCTCATGGGCTGCCAAGGGTGCATAGCCCGGTTTAAACCAAGAGCAGCCCTGGCGAACCCTCGACTATATGACTGTCCTGTACCTTCGAAGACAAACGGTAAGTAATGAATGATGGGACCCTAATCCAGCCTGCAATGACATTCATTGTGTAGTTGGGGTCATGAACAAAATCCAGAGCAACCAATGGGGCAAAACCGAAGCAAGGGGAGGTGCTAATTGGTCCCGCTTAAGGGCGAGGGTGGGGGTTACAGTGCTGCCGTTGGCCAATGGAGCGGCTGATTCACACACTTATTATTCTGAAGGTGTGATGGTCAGGGAGGTGGAGGAAAAGAGCTGACGAGGGGTTATGTTGACTGCTGGACCTTGTGATGATATGAACCCCCCGAGGGGAGGACAGAGGACCTAAAAACAGCATTCCGCTGCAGATGTACTCCCCAACACGTGACAGAGCATGTGTGGATGCGCTGTAGCCGAGCGCCAAGCAGTTAGGTGCACATTTGCAAGTTGCTGCAAGGTCAGAGCAGCCCTCATTTCTCAGTGTCATACCGGAGGACAAGAAAGAAGCGGGCAGGTGGAAGGAGGAGCCGTCATTGTCTCTGTGTGAGGATATAAGCGAGGGGAGGGCAGCGGGGGTTTCAAGTATCTGAGTCCTTGCAGAGTCCTTGAACTCCTGTCTTCTGTTGCTGCTCACAAGCAGAAAAGAAATGCCTTTCTGGCATGGAGGATTGCAGAGGAGGAAGCGATGATTTTATGAATCCTTCTCCATCTATTCAGTGTCAGTAAGCCGAGCAGCTCTGCTTCCAGCAACAATAACTCTGACAAGTGAGCTTCATTTAAAGATGAATGAGGCATCCATCAAGTGGGAGATTATACAGCCTGAGCCATAAACTGATCTAGATCTAGTTTGCAAATTTAAACATATGTAAATAAACCGAATCAAATCCTCCAATATTATGCAGCACAAGGCTATGCAGAAACTAAATCAAATATTAACGCTTCAACAATATTACATGCTGCAGACCTTTAGCATATTGATATTTTTTTTTAGTCCAAGTGAGGAGTCAGTTTGAACCAACTTCAAACCTCTGTCCCTCAGCAGCCCATATGGAAATAACACAAGTTGGTTTATAGAAATAAACAGCCGCCGGCTGGACTTCCTGACCCCCCGTGACCTTCTTACTGCAAGTTAGCAGCAAACCAAACATACAACTAAATAACAAAATTTAAATACTGGGAACGGAACAAAAAAAAAAGAGAAATTGTTTCAAATAACTTTCATCTGTAGAACATAACCAACCCATTTCATAATAACCTCCCACAACACTGCCACAGTTAGAGTAGATAACTAGGTTTATGGAGTGAACAAACTTATTCACATGTGATTTTAATGGCATCTCTATTTCTGTTACAATCTCAAAATTGTGATTTTCCCCCCGACATTAACAGAACAATGTCAAAGTTTGTATTGGAAACTCAGATACAGTAACAACATGAGATGTGGAGCAGCAATTGCTGCATTTCTAATTACCATCGCCACTTCTTCTTCTTCTACCAACAACAAAATTGTTATTCCCCCCCTCTGGACACGTCTGCTGGGAAAGAATAACTTTTGAATTAATTGTTTCTTTATCAGCTAGCAAGCATGAAGTCTGGTTCTGGGGTTCAGACGTCAGACGTCTGTGGCAGCTGCTTTTATTGTGATAATTTTAATGAGCTGAATGCTCCTGTGTAAATTCACCGTGAATAGGAAAATAACTGATTACATCAGCTTATCTTTCATCATCCAAAAGTGTAATTTTTTCCCTTTTTTGAATCATCTTGAAAGCTCATGTGTTCAGATGAGGCTTTGTATCACCTCAATGATGAAATACAAAAATACAACATGTTGTAGATCTTTTTAAAAGTAGGCAGTGTGTAAAATTGGACTTCATTTTCCTCTTATTGCATTCAGGAAAATATGGAAGCTCCAGATTTTTTTAAATTCCCCTTTTTTAATTCCTTGAATGACATCTTTCTATTTCTGTACTCCAGTTTGTGCATTGTGTTTAATATTCAGGAAGTGACAGCTGCTGGTCTGCTTGCTGGTAACAAGTAGTTATTACACAGGGGAAAATAACTTCTGTTCACACAAAGTTGTTCCATTGCTCATTTTTAATAATATTAATTTGATAAACACACTTTTAAAAGGCGGCTCTATGGGGTGACTTTAGAGTCATCATTAATATCTCCCAGAATGCATGTGCTGTAATGTCTTGTTTCTACTTAGTGGGACAACACGAGTTGTTACGATTCAGTTTCCTATTTTCTGGTCCAGCGATTCAGAAAAAGGTTTCAGTGGACTCACTGGGAAGGCGGGGCGAGACCCAAACGTCTAATGTTCAGCTAAAGTAGCACCATGACAAATATGACTCGGTAGTATCTCTTGATGTTGTTCCATCCCCCAATCAATGGACTAACCATAACACTGTCCAATGGACCTACAGATGAAGAGGTTCCAGGAATGGTGAAGAAACAGACAAAATGGTGTACCAAGCTGCTACGGCCCATGTTGGAGCGCTCAGTGGAAACGAGGTGATTGGCTGCCCGTTCACAGCGTTGGGTTTTGTTTCTGGAAATGGATTTACAGAGTCTGGTTTCTGCTGTCGCAGAATTATGTCACATTTCTCATAACTGCCATAAAAGTTAGATGTGACATGAATGTTCAGACGGCAGACGCTCTGAAAACTATTGGATATGTATCTGATTTAATCCAAAATATGGAAGTGGTACAAATCAGATTTTTTGTGAGGGAGAAAAGCTCAGAATTGGGACATTCAGTCTATTATGAAAAAGTGGGATATAGTCTGGTTTTCCAAAGCGCTTTGTTCGTTTGACACAGTGACACAAGTGAACAGCACCAGCTGAAAACATAATAAATGTTGCAATTTTGGAGTCTACTGGACTACCAGGTGTGGCAGTTCCAGAGTAAGGCTGGTAATATATATATGAATATATATATATATATTTTTTCCTAGAAACGTAAATGTAAACGTAAGCAACGGTTAGCCTGGTGGCGGGGCTAGTAAAGCATGGCGGGCCGCTAGGCTTATAATACACTGGAGGAAACCCTGAAGTTGAAATAAGTCCAACAACTACTTTTACATAACATGCCACCGACACACAGCTCTTACTATGCTATCCAACCCACTTGGAGCCCCCAGAGATGGCCCCAGAGCCTACACTCCCACATACAAGAGTGCAAACTAAATGTGTGTGTTGGTCTCACTTGTGTTGGTCACAACTGTAGAAACTTTAGTTTTTAATTTCTGTATTTCCAGCAACTCGACGGAGAAGTACCACAATGTGAGTGCACTTTTTCAGATAAGGTGTAGCAGAAAACATGAAATGACTGATGAGCAAAGATGAACACATTCTATCGTTTACTGTGCATTTTTCACACCACGTTTTCCCCCCTGCCTTCATTTTTCTTCCTGCCTTTCCATTCCTGTCCACATTCAGACGGCAAAGACAGAACAATGAGCTAGTTGACAGAACGCCGACGTGATGTATGTGCATCGAAAAATACTGGCTTTTGAACCCATTTCTCATTTTATGCAGCATCAGAACCACCATTGTCCCAAAGTCCAGGCAATGCGGAGCCCTATGACGTGTGCCGTCCATGCGTGGAGGGAGGGGGGCCTATTCATCCACAGAGTTTAGCTTTATCAAAGTCATGCATGGTTAAGAGTATGCAATTGCTCATTAAATACACAAAAGACTGGAGGATTTGCTGAGGAGAAAGCTTCCCAGCCAGGACTCCTTTGCTCATTTCAGATATCAAACATCCCAGTTCAAAGAGGTGGGGCGCGCCAGCTGAAAACACCTCCGGGAAATGGGAACTGCGCAGAAGTATAGGAAAGACATGGGGGGTAAACAGTCGGAGCACGAATGGGCAAAGGAAATTTACCATACAAGAGGAGTGAAGAATCACAAAATGCACCGGAGGAGGCTGCGCCGGCACGTCTCTCTCAGGAACAGCGTTTTCATTTTCATGCGCTTTCACCTTGATAGCTTGCCATTGGTGGTTAAGCTCAAATGTGGGTTTCTACTGCCGTACACACACACGCAGGGTTTTCTCCTCACTTTAACATTCAAAAGCCAAGCGAGTGGCTTTTCAGGTTCCATGGGCCATTCACACCCACAAAACATGAATGAAACAACCATGATTTACATTCAATTCATATTAGGAGAGATGCGAATCGGAACTTAAGGGGTCAAAAAGGTGGAGGAGGACTAAATACAACGGTGACGTTTTACTGATAATTTCTCCTTCAGAAGAAATTTGTGTAAAATGTATTCAGATTAAAAGGTACACATATGGGCTATGACATTCACATCAATGATATTTCTATTCATTTTGTTTTGATACTAAGCAGAAATATACAACAAACAGTCATTCTGCTCATGGGATCCTAAAATAGTAAGCTAGCTTAACAGAAGTGACTCACCCAATTGGTTCAACATGGCTCTTCATGTTGCTCATGACTGAAAAAATTATGCATCATTCTTTTAAAAGATATATGGAAAGAAAAAAACTCTAGATAAAATTGGAGGCATCAGTCAATAGGAATAGGCCTGAACACATCAGAAGGTATTTTTTTTATTTTTAAGTATTATTTTTTAAAAGTTGAACATGTCAAAAAAAAAAAAAAACTTTTTAAATTCTTGGTGCACATTCAACCATTTTCTTTGGTTTCCAGTCATAGTTCAGCAGCTTTCAGAGACAAAAATTAAATAAAACAATGTCTGAAAAAAATGCAAATTACTTCAAATTATGGGAGTACATAAATGATTATTTTTGTAAAGTGCGTTGAGACATCATATGTTGTGAATTGGCTCCATCTAGATAAACTGAATGGAACTGAATTACCGTCTCACTGCTGTGATATTACGCTGTGCAGGTGTTTGAGGGGCCTCAGCGTTCGCTCTCGTCTGGGATCGTAAAGTTTTACTCTCTGTGTTCTCCAGCGGGAGCCACTGGTTCAGGTGGTAAAGCAGATTGCTGGTATTCCACAACTTTGTCGGAACATGTGTTCCACGTAAGGCTGCTTTGCTTTTTTTTTTTTTTTTTTCCAGACTTTAAAGGGGAGGTGGTGTTATGAATTTTTCGGGCACATAGTGCCATTTTATAGCACAATCAAGTAAAGTTACCTCCAGTTGTTATAAAAATTTGTATATATCAAACATAAAAGAAATTTGGCTTCACAAATTGACACCTTGAAAGAGGCCTCTGTCTCATCATCACAACAATGCTAATTGCTGCTGGCTAGTCTGAAGGAGCTGAGTGACGGCAGTGTGAGAGGGGCAGAACGGTTGATTAAAGGATTCCTAAAACATGTCTGAAGAAATCAAAGCAACACTCCAGAGATGGTTTTGATGAGGTAATATCATATAAAGCTCAAAATACAGCTATTTAAATGTAGCCAAACTTTCTCCAATTTCTTCCCTGTCATGAAGTGTGTTTGGTGGTGAGGAGAGACGCAGAGAACCCAGGTTATGGTGAAGATGATGAATTTAATGATGAGCCCAGTCAGTCCAAAACAGGCAGCACGGCAACGAGACAGGCACACAGCCAAATACCGGTAGCAACTGAACACACTGGACTGAAAAACGAGAGCTAATGCTATCCAGGACTTCACAGTTCTACTGGAGCGAAACACAAGACGTGACACAAACGACACTGACTTACGACAATAAACACGACGAGGATCCGACACAGACAAAGACAACAGGTGGGGTTAAATACACAGGGAAGGTAATCAGGGAACGGGATACAGCTGGGAGCAATCAACAGGGAAGACAGAGACAGACTCACAGGACTACACAGAAACTCAAAAATAAACACACAGAAACACGGAACATGACATTCCCAACAATATCATCTGCTGTGCCTTCCATCTTTTTTTCCTTCAAGGCGCTAATTTGTGTTCTTATATCAGTCATGTCTACCTGTTATCTGAAGCTGTGAGTGCATAAGAACAGGAAACGCTGATACGTATGGCCTTCCAGTGACTGGATATAAAACAAATACCTGTGCTTATGTCTGCAGAACGATTTGCGAGCGAGAGCAGCGGTGTGATGATCTGACGCGGGAGAAGCCGTTAAAGCTGCAGACAGCTCCGGCTGGTGACTGAATGTTTATGGACTCCTCTCAAGGATGTGTCAGCTAAAAAACTTTAAATTAGCAGTGAAGTGAAAAACAACTTTAAGGAGAGGATGCGCTCCACTGATTTCAAAACAAAAACAGCTTCCAAGCTTCACTTTAGATGAAACCTTCATTTGTCAAGAGATGCTCCGACTGGCGAGGAAAAGAGCCGTCTGCTCAAGTGAGTACGAGTTACAGCTCACCACAACACAGAGAAGAGGCTCTAATGCTCTGGGATTTTTTTCTTTCTTCACAGCTCTTTAAAACGGCAGATTCAGTGGTGACACAATTTCTAGTTTTCTCACAGATATTAGGTCTTACAAACAGGAAGCTACTGAGGCTGGAGTTCTGGGGGAACATAAAGACACGCTGAGTTTTGACATTTCTGGTTTACTCTAAAACGACTGTAGTTTTTCTTTGGAAGCCATCAAAGATGCACTCAGTTGGTATTGGTATGTGTTTAGTATTGTACTACTCAGTATTTATTTGTCGTCTTTATTAAGAACATCCTTGGAGGTGATCATGATTGCGCTTTTAGCTGTTTTTCATCTTGAATCTATGAAGCATTTGCTCAAACTGTCCAAAATGACCAAAACTCCCCTATGTGACCTCTTCAATCAGACATTACTTTCAATTTGAGGTTCGAGTTTGTTCTGGTTGTCCCAGCACCAGGTCAAAATCAGGAGACAAGTACTAGTCTTTTATTTAACAGAGGTCTCATGATCATGTTTTTTACATTTAAAGGGGAGAGGTAGACCGGACGCCTGGTATTTTCAGGGTTTTGGGATACCAGCATTGCTAAAAACTATGGAAACTTAGCATCCCCACTAAGAAAGGTTCCTATTTTAAAAGTTCAAACACCAAATATATCTTAATATCCACTGTTAAACACAGTAGAAACACTCTTGGCACTAGTGCAAAAGCTAACATTTTCCTTAACTCTGCTCTTGGAGGCACTGTTAGCTTGGTATAAACCAGTTTCTTGTTCTACGCGTCGCACGGTCTGGATCAGGGCTGGGCAATCCTGGTCCTCGAGGGCTGGTGTTCTGCAACTCTTAGATGTCTCCCTGGTCCAACACACTTGAATCCAATAGCTGAATAACATCCTCCGTGCAGTCAAGTTCTCCAGAGTCCTGCTAATGACCTCATTATTTGACTCTGGTGTGTTGAAGTAGAGACACATCTAAAAGTTGCAGGAGACTGGCCCCCCGAGGCCTGGAGTTGCCCACCCCTGGTCTGGACCCTCGGCTATTGAGAAAGAATTGCTTGCTAGAGGCATGGACTGTGTTTAGGTTTTAAATGATTGAATCTGATTTTACCCAATCGCTAACATTTGACTGGGACGTATGTAATACACCAGTTCGATGAAGCTTAGCAGAATTTGCTACCCGGTGGTAGTAGGTCCATGACATCTGTGCCAGTAAAAAGAATGTCATACATTCCTATTGATCCTACTAACATTTAGCTGTGGCGTATGTCTTGTACCAGCTTTATTGTGAAGGAATGTACACTATGAAGTTTATTGGAAAGCGTAGCCAACATGACTTTGATCATTTATAGTCTGGCAACGGCCAGACTATAACCTTCAATTGCCAGACTGCAATTCTAAAATAACCCCCAGCATCATCGTTCACAACTCCCTGAAATCAAGTTCAAAGGGTGAAATCCCAGACAGAGCACTGAACGAAGATGAGAATTGAGCAGAATTCAAAAGGAAAGCAATGGCCAGGCTATGGTACAACCAATCAGCGATAAGAGAAATGAATGGCACTGCTAGAAGGGCTGCTTTCCAAAAGGTAGCCAATAGTGCTAAGTAGCATTGTTCAGCTTCCCAAGGTGCAGTTTCTTTTGAATATTTCAGATGTGCTCTCTTAAAAAAAATAAAATAAATAAATACAATAAAAAGTGAATCTGCCAATACTGAACCACAAACAGGCGGAGATCCACTCAACTCTTTCTGACCAAACTTTTGGTGACTGACTCGTATTGACAACTACAAAATTCAAGGATTTCCTGTGTGTTTCATTAACCCCCTCAGAGTTTTAAAGAGGTTACTGTGATTGGTTACAGAAAAAAGACTGAAAATAAGTCACTGAACCCTGCAGTCTACTGAGATCTCATGATATTTACAGCTCACGACATCTGGTGGGAAGTCTGAAGAAATTACAGAGGTTGTTGTTAACTCTTCTAATTTTCTCATAAAATGTGTTAAAAGTTTAAAAATGTTACCATCATATGTTCTTTTAGGCCCACATTTATGCTATCTGTGATTCTTGTATCAGACAAAACACATACTCACAGCTTATACCTCTTAGAAAACACACACATTCTTAAATCGTAACACAAAATTACCAAAAAAACTCCAGTGGATTTTGTTTTGAAGCCTACTTGTCGATAGAAACTTCACCAGATTCTCATTTAGAGTGGCAGGTCCAATCTTTTAGAATTGGCCTTCCCAGCTGTGATATTTTGGACGCCTTTGAAGTAGTCGCTTTATTGATCTGACGACACACGAGTGTTTATTGTACTTCCCAGGCCATAATCACTAAGGAAGCCCTCGAAATGGAATAATGCCAGTCAGTGAGGGCGCCAAACTGTGCAATAAAGGCTCAACAGTTTTATCACTGCCTCTGGGTGTGCAGTCCATCAGTGTGTGTGTGCCGTCACAGTTTTCCTTGCAATAAATCAAGCAGCAGGTCAAGCAGAGCTCATTTAGGGGAAGCGCACAAGCTGCACTCGAAACGAGGGACGACCCTTAAGGAAAATACATTTAACAAGTTCTGTTTGCGGAGATAAATTACAGTTTGCGCTGACAATTAATTATGTAGAGTTCATGCATCCTCACA